GAAGTAGGAGGAGTGGGTGTGTCGTCGGGGCAGTTATCGCAGGCGGCGGGGCAAAGAATCTTCAATTTTTTCCCGCCGTTGTCGGGCGATCTTTTATTGCACCTTTTATTGGGTTTCTTCGCCACCCACCTACACTTTTTCTTTTTTCGTAGTCTCTTGACTCTGAACTTGAGTCTTCTATCGTCCGTGCACGTAGATGATTTTTCGATTGGATGTGACGTTGCTCCTCCAACGACAATGGCGACCACAAGAAGAAAGTGGTACAGTCTCATGTTTCAGTTTTTGTTATCCTCCTTATTGCGTGTAATTTTGAGAGAAGAAATGGTTGGTTAYGGATCGAGATGGATAGCTGATGMTTCTGGCGTTGCGTGTCTKGTTGATGTTTCGTCAATATTTTTTTATGATCCTAGACTAGAAGGATCGGATACCAATCGAGGCAWCGTACCGGCCATTATGGTACTGGTACAGATTTGGATCGCTCTGCCGGAAGATATTCGTCGAGCAACGAAGAGAATCGCTATTATGAGATGTTGGCCTTGATTTGAAGTGTTCTTTTGTCGTCCTTTCTACCATCCAGCTGTGGAGATTCGGTAAGGAAATATCATTAMTTTATTTCTGGTAGTACAGAGAATTTCAAATTTATCTTTCGATGCACCGGTTTGAGTTTTGGGGGTCGTGCCTACTCGTACTTTTTCTATAGAATTCCCAATCATGTTCAAGGTTAGTATCGGAAGCAGTTGTAGTTCCCGAGATTTCTTTCAATCGATCCGCCCAAGAAGTCGTTGATGTTCTAGTCGTGAGATKAATTTTTAGATTTTCTTCATTTTTATTCTTGTCAAAAGGAGCAGTACTCTTGATCTACCAGGATCATTATAGCCCAATATGACTCTTTATTCGACTTACCGTAAACATTAAAAAGTCATCCAGATCTGATTCGATTCTAATCTAGTGCTCGCGATTTTGGACAGTTCCTGGATGTTCTTATTTTCATCCTYAGTCCGCAGAACGGAAGATTGTGACAATTTTTTAATTATCCTTTCTGATTCGAAGTCCTACCGGTACTCGTTTGTTGCCTCATCTAGTGGCATCCTACTACTAGAACCTGGCCCAACAGAAAGAATATCAGGCCCAGAATGTTATTTCGCCTTGAAACTATTCTGTCGAATCCATTCAGTCAATTGGATCTTGGTTAGAGTACGRTACGTACTACTGATTCATATCTTCTGGTTGGCACTGAATAATGGAGAGAACTACGTCGGTATTGTGCCGGAAAGCACGAACACCGAGAACCACTCATACCGTTGTGTCGATACCAAATGTGAAAGGCATTAATAGTGTAAGTACTAGAAAGYAGACCCTCTTGAAAAAGCATCGAATTCGTTTTATGATCTCCACTACTAGTAGTAGTCGCCGAATTCCTAACGTCAAAGTTCGGGCACAGAGTTGTCGTAGCCACTGCCGGACCCAAAGGATACGCCACAAAAATGCCTCTCGTACTGGTACTGGTGCTCGTGGTGTCGCACTATTGGTAGCTAGTAGTACTATTGGTAATAAATATTTCAACAACAAAAAATGGTCGCCTTCTCCTCATACTACTAGTACTACGAAGTTCGCCTCCTCCTCATACTACAAGTACTGCGAAGTGCCGGAGGAGGTCGTTATTTGATACACGATTCTGAGCACATGCACTAGGAGTACTAGAATGAGTAGGTAAGGTGATTCGAGTAGTATCCAATRACTAAAAWGAATCTCATACATGTTCKYTTTGAGGGCATCCTCCATTTTAGTCCAGAGGTGATGAACATCAAGGCTGATCTGATTTTGTTCGTAAAGTTTTAATTTTATATCATGAATTATTAATACCATATATGCGAAGGCGTTGCTACCTGGCGGTGGTAACGTGTTGGCGAAAGGAAAAGTYCGAGTGTTTCCAATCAAATCCCATTCATTCACTCTGAGTTTTGTGAACACTTTGCCGCATATCCTTTCTGTTGATTGTACTTCCTCACACGAGCGAGGCCGCGTTGTTTCATTACTTGATGATCAATTGTTTGTGAAATCAGCTTTACTTTGTTCATCGTCTTCTCGGTCCTTGCTTTTTGAACATTGGAATCAACCTGACTACTCAAGCTACTGCTCTCACTGCTGTGGCTACTTTTGCTTGGATCACCGCAAAAATATGTTTCYTCTGTCTGACTCACCGACTCGTTTGGAGCAGCTGGGTAGCGTCTACGAGGTAATTGCCTACMKTGCTCACTAACAGTTTTAGAAGCTAGAGTTTCACTCTCTCCGTAGAGGACAGTCAAAAACGGCTTCGACACTCGAGACATTTCTTCGTTTTGCAAATTTTTGATGTTCTGTTCCTGCTCGTTCTGAAGCCTATCTTGTACACCTTCTCTTGTCTCGGATGGATCGATTCGCAAAGTCCCAAAATAGCTCTTGATGCCAT